TAAATTACTCATAATTCCATAAAAATAGGGAAGTATTCCATCTGACCGCATCAGACCATTAATTTGGTTTAGTGCATTTGATTTTTGTCTTGTAATTTCAAAGTATCCTGTACAGTATAGATTTTCTTGGCCTTTCCAAAGTCATCATATGACTCCTATTTAGAACGGTAACATAAGTCAGCTAAGGATGAAAATTTCTGTCAATATGAATTTTTAAACTAGAATTAAACTCCAGGCACTATAATGGTAACTGATAAATATTATAGACTTTTTAGTTAAATATTTAGTATCAACCTGTGATTTAAAGAGTGTGTGTTTTGATTTTTTGATCCTCAGAAAGAGGAAAAAGGAAAAAAAAAAAAAAAGAAATCCCTGTACCTCTCCCCACCCTGAAAAAAAGATTGTTTTAGATCTTCAGTGAAAGTTCTCCATAAGAATGTAACAGGTAGCATGCTGGATACAATTTCATGACAGTGAACACCTGTTTTGCAAATATCTGAAAACAACACAGAAAGCTAAAATGGTGTGTAAATATTAGTAATGGGGCCTTAATTAATAATTAAGGCTTTAAATAAGTAATTAAGGATTAGTAATTAGTAATCAGTCTTTATCCCACAAGTACTAACTGTATGTTTGCAGCTGGTATAAATTCAGTTCTGTGTAATAATTCTGGACAGCCATGTGTTGCTATACTCAAAAAATAATTGCATTAATTAATTTTCTCTTTCTTCAAAATTTTAAGTTTTGTGACTTGTTGTCTTCTTAATAATTTGTATTGCTCTCCAGAAAATAGAAGTTAAATTAAAAGTGTCTTTAACTCCAGGTATTAAAGTCTGTATTAAGCATGTTTATTAATTTGCTTTTGAAACAAAATATCAGAAACTGACAGGTTTTTTATTTGCTAACTACTTAAACTTATGGAGGGTACACTTTTATACATATGTTCTCAGCAGCTTTGAATTGAATCAATTTGTATTGATGGTTGACCACACTTTTGATGAAACAAAACGAAAGAATCAGACAGTGTGTTACAGAATGTACTGCACTGAATATAGTTTGCAAGCACAGAACAGTGTATCTACAATCACATTTAAGGTAATTTAGACTGAGCCCTGTTGCTGTCTATAAGACTGTATAAGACTGCTGTCTATAAGACTGTTTGCTGCCTAAACCCCTCAGAATTGCTCTAGCTTATCCAGAATTAGTCATGTTTCTCTTACTGAGTTTGTGTCAGACTGTGGACACTGGAGAGGAAGAGTGGGTATCTGCAGGTCAAGAATTAAGGAATAGAATCTTGTATTGTCATGGCAAGAAGACTTCCTGTGCCTATAGTATGCAAAACCAAGCTCCAAAATAAAAAAGGAGGCTGCATGCTAGCATTAGAATACAGTTGATACAATATCTGCTCCTTAAGCCAGACAGGGTCAAAATGGACTGCAATAGAGTCTAAAAGCAGGCGTTCTCAGGATATAGACAATGGCAAAGTTTATTCTTGAGAAGGGACCTCTTTGTTGATGATGCCAATATAGATATTGCCATATTCAACTAGCAGAATTTTGTACTGAAATGGAACTTTCTAGAATTTGAAAGTCTAGAATCATGAGGTATTTTTCACTTTCTGCCACTGCATAACATCTGCCTTAGGATATAGAAAAACAGCTTTGCTAAAGCTGGTCTCCTTTATGTGCATTGTAAAATAAAGAGCACTGAGAGTTTCCACCACCAGATAGCATAGTATAAAGTATAGTGAGTCTTTATTTACACTGCACATTCATGACTTCAGGTAGTTATGCCAAATGTAATATAGTATTGCCTCTCATGAAATGTTGTTTATTTTCATTTCTTTTCTTTCCATACACCCAGAGGCTGCACTAAATAATCCTGTATCTGATTAGAGAATTACCAGAGTAGATTAAAAAAAATCAACCCCCCTTTTTCTTGTTTTTTAAGCACTCACTATAATTTTTATTTAGCAGCCTTATAAGATTGAGGCTCCGTTATTCCAAACACAGTACAAATACATAGCTTAAATAAGTTATAGTATGTCTCGAATGATTTGCAAATAAAATCATACAATTCTGAAGTAGGTCATCTGCCTGCTCACTAGGCATGCTAATTTTTTGTTTCTAATATCATGGAGTGTCCTTAAAGTATAATCATATTTGAAACAAACCTTCCCTTTCCTGTGGACTGTTAAGTTTGCTTACCTCTAAAGATTACTGCAAATAGTTCTATAAGAATTGTTGTAACTTTTCAGTGGGTAACAGCAAAGAGGAAAAGCAGATCACAGCTTTTATAATGCTTGTTTAAAGTCTATTTTTTTCAAGTATTTCAAACACCTGAAAGTGTCAGAGATTAAGTAAGGAGACTCTGAGCAGTTCTGGGCCCTACAGTACTTGAATGAACTTGAGCAAGGGTCACCAAGCTGGTTGGAGTCTGGTGCACAAAACTTATGAATAGCGCCTGGGGAAGCTCGGCTTTTTTAGTATCAGGCAGGAGGATTTTTCCTACTAGGCACTTTCGAACAAGAGGAGCTGATCAAAACAGACGGAGTCAGGCTCTTTCCAAAACTGAGTAATGCTGCATATTTTAAACCAAATGTACGACCTCATGAGTAAACTTGAATATATTCTATAAAAATATAATTTACAGATACATGTTGCAGTGGATTAAACAGCATAAAACTTGTATATATATGTAGTACATACAAAGGATCTGTAGCTTAGGAATCTTACTTCAGACAATCTAATATCAGACATTAAAATAAGGTGGGACAATATTTATAAGTAGTCAGACAGTTTTACTTTCCCTGTTTTCTTTTCTCTTGCTTTTTCTTGCCCATTTTTAAACAAACCTAAGTACACATTAAAAAAAAAAAAAGACATTTTATAAACTATGTTGTGAACTAAAGTCTATAAATTAGAGAATCCTAAAACTATGGGATGTGACTTGGTCCTAGATGGAGTCTAAGACTTGGATTGTAGTGTTTCTTTTTCTTAAAACTGGCTCCTGTATTAGGATGTTTCCTCCTTTCTTTCCAAATATGGACCATTTTTCTGCACTTCATAACAATATCAAAATAATTAAACAAGATATCAGAACAAAAAGTTACCAATTTACAGTTTACATTGTTCAGTAAAATGGCAGCCACTAAAAATAACATACATTTGCAGATTGATATTTATTTTAAATCTCTACAGTTGTTTGCATAATCTAGCAAACATTCTCTTTAGAAGAGCCAAGATATTTTCCAATTTCATCTTGAAATATCATTCAGCAAAATAATATAAAAATCTTCCTCAGTTTCATTGGGTGCTTGGTTTCCACGTTTTGTTGCATTAATGACAAAATGCCATAAAAGATAGTTACAGTTTTAATGGGGCAGGAAACTTATGATCTAGTTTTATTTCAAATAACTCAGGACACAATGTTTAATTAAAACCCAATCAACTCTTTTGAACTGCATGTCAGTATTACTTTGGAGAACCAAATGAAACATTCCGTTGTCAAGTACAGACTTTTAAGATGAGATGTGTTTCAAGATTACATTAAGAGCATAAAAGCGGAGCATTTAATTTTCTGAATTTTAATGTGTTTGAAATATTATTGTGAAGAAAATTGCATCTTCTGAAGTGACAGATGCATTATTCAGATGGCTTTGATTATATGATAGATTAAAAAAAGTTCTTTCATAAAGGATGTGTATCCCAGGGTATTTAACAGAGTGGCTTTAATGATTTGAGAAATTAGGATAATACATTAATATTGATCTAGTAATCAAACTCTGTAATACTATTAATTATTTTGCTGGTTCCATTCTACTGTGTTGCAGTGATTTTCAGGTTTTGCTCAAAAATGTTATGCACATGCATTAACTCATACTCAATATCAAAGGTATTTTAAAATATAAAGATATATATAATCATGAGTCCATATGAACAGTGTGTTTCCAAGACCAGACATGATGATTAAATCTCTTAATTATTTGAATTATTAGAATTAGATTATTAGAATAATCCTGCACATTGGAATTAAAATTTAAACCTGTACAAAGATATAACGAAGAAGAAAAAGACCTAAATTTTTTTTTTCTGAAATGAATTGTAACAATAATTTACCTAGACATGTTTGCTTCTTTTAGCTACACTTGCTGTACTTGATAAAATATTTAGACATGAACCTATCATAATGCACAGCAATGTTAAAATCATGACATAAAATAGATTGATTATATATAATCTGCTTATACCCTATTACCAGACTCAGACATCATTCTACTGTCTTTGTTCTACTTAATTTTGTGATGCTAAAGATGATTTCACTTTTTTTTTTTTTTTTTTTTGTTTTATTTGTTTTTCCTTTTCTTAGAGCCTCTCCCTGCCCCAGCTCTTTTAGAAATCCTTTCCAGGGATGCTACTGTGTACCTCACAGGAGAGGATGAAATTCCTATAATTTGCTATAATTACCTTTTTCTGTTTGGTGGTTAATGATGCCACTTTTAACACCAGCATCTCTTTTGTATTGTATTCTTTATTTGTAATTTTGCTGAGAAAAACCCTTTTCTTAATACATAATTGTTTGGTTTTCCTGATTAATTGCTGTGATTTAACACATCCTGTCTTTTATTTCAAGATGCAAAATATTGACACAGTGTCTATAAGGACCTAATCCTAACTGGTACCAAGTGTCTATAATTCCATTTATACTAATGGAAGAATAATAGCTTTGATGTTTACAAGTGGTACTCAGAACCTTTCTGAGCCAATCTATATACAATTTTATTATTATCAGCAATAGTTAAGAATGTGAATCTTCACTATTGTTGTATCTTTTAATATTACTGTTAATTATAATGTTGTCATACTGTAAAAACTTCCAGTCATTGCACTATTTTCTTTATAACCTTTCTTGTTTTTCTTTTTCTTTTGCAGCAGTTTTGCTGGATAGACTTTCTGCTGGCTGCATTTTAAATCTGTTCTGTTTTCTGTCAATTACCACAG